CGGGGACCGCGGTGCGAGCGGCTGAGGGGCGCACGGTCCCGGCCCGGCCCTGTCACCGCCCCGGGTCGGAAGCGGCAGCACATTTGCGGATCGCATTAGGCCAGGCCCTTAATGCTTTCTGCAGATGGAGAGGAGCCACCGACCCGCCCCCGGACACCGGCTCCGCCAAGGCGCCCGCGAGGCGAAGCGAGAGGCAAGTGTGACCGCGGCTTTTCCAGTCTCGACTCCCACTGATTTCCCTCGGCAGCGGCAGGAGGGCTCTGAAGAAGCCCCTCGCTGCCCTCCTGGTCCCAGGGGCCCCCGACCTGCGTGGAGAGACTGTGCTGGCGGGCTGTGGGGCCGCGCCCTCCCGGCGCCCCTTACCTCTCAGCTCGCAGGCCTCCGGCCGCAGCTCGGGCCGCTGAGGGCGCGCGGTGGCATCTGGTGGGGAAAGACTTGACCTGTCAGAAGATCCGCATCCCCGCCCCAGGGATGTCACTGCCTCTCTGTGTGACCGTAGTCAGGTCCCTTTCCCTCTGGGCTGGCTTAGTTGGTCCTTAGACGCATTTCTGCCTGAAGCAGCAGAAGCTGGCAGGTGCCCTAACCCTTGGCTCCATGCTGGCCTCCTGCGTCCGATGCCAATGGCCACACCCTGCTGCTGACAAATGAGTTGGAAAGTGCCCGAGTTAGAGACGTCTCAGCTCCTGGAGGGCTGGACGTGTGGGCTGCCCATTTGAGGCAGGTCCAGCTGCCCTCCTGACCTTGATGTGGACTGGTCCCAAAGAGAGCCCCAGCCAGCCTGGAGCCTGGAGTAGGGAGCCCATCCTGGACCCACACAGACATTTCCAATCTCCCTCTGATTGGTCCGTTAAGTCATGGGTGCTGCTGCTGGGGCCAGAGCTTGTTGGGAAGAGCTCTTTCCTCTTTTGTAGGCTACAAGTAAGACCCCAAGGAGACAGGACCCCATGGCTTCCTGGACGAGCCCCTGGCGGCTGCCCATGTGGATGGTCGTGTTGCACTCGGCCCTCCTGCAGGTAAGAGAGGGGAAGAGGAGTGGCAGGTGTTTCTCTGCTTCCTTAGATCACCTAAGGTGTGTGGCTGGCGTTAACCCCATACCAAAGAGCATCTAGTTTTCTCTCCTACCTCTAGAGAATGGTATTTCTGGTTGACTTAGCTGTTAACAACGATCCACGTTTTTTGGGGTCCCCCCCTCGGAGCCACACCCACGGCCTTAACACCACGGCGGGTGGCATGTACCAGTGGTGACTCGGGGCTGCGACACACCCTGTCTTTTTAGTCTAGAATGACTGTCTGCTTGTGCCCAGAGGACAGGACGGGTGAATGGGGTGAATGGGCGGACCTCGGGGGTCTGGCCTCAGCCCTGCTAATAAGTATGCATTCCTAATATACACATATTGCACCGTTTCGCAGTCCTCCCTTCAGACTCTGGTCTTCCCCACTGGCCCGGGAGCACCCAGCTCATTCACCGCATCCTCATTTGCCTACAGAGCGTTGCCTGAGAGACAGTAGGGAGTGGTGGGGACAGTGGCAACGAGGGCGGCGTGTGCTTCATCCGTTACGAGCCGCCTCTGCTGAGCTCCAGCCACAGCCAGGTGGGAACGCAAGCCCACGATGGCCAGACCTTCCATTTTTTTCTACATAGCTGCAGCATCCAGATTTCCTATGAAGTCTAGTTTCCAGAGCATTCTAAGTCAGACGGATGTGTGCGTAGCCTGGCTACGGCGGAGCAGTTCGTAGGCTCACATCTGAAGGGACAGAGCCCATCTTGGCATTGGGCTGCTGCCAGCCCACACAGCACCTTGTGTGAATTGGGGAGAGGCAGCCCCTCCCTGCGGATGTCATTCTCAGGCACGTGGCTTGGTGGCCTGTATACCCTCAGGGCGTGTAAGGGGCCTGTTAACGAGGGCAGGCACGTCTGCTAAGTGCGCATGCGCACATGCATACCTAGCTACGCCGGGGGGGCTTAGACCTCTGTGCCCCTCGCGTCGCTCTCTGGGGCTGTTTCTGAGGCCTCTTTCAACCCCGATGCCCCATGATTTCTGTGACTCCACAACCATATTTTAAGAGCTATCTTCTGTTAGAACGAAAGTTAAGCGTTTTCAGAGTCATTTTTGGGTTCCGCTGGTTAGCGAGGTGTAGCGTGCGGCGAAAAAGTGGATGCTAGCTTTTCTGTCCCGCCAGAGGATCCGAAACGGGACAGGAGCCTCAGACGTCTGATCCTGGTCGAGTGGGGCTGAGGCTTCAAGGCGCGGCGGCGTCTTGCTCTGCCTTCTTTCACCCTGGAAGACTGAAATGTGCCTTGAGGCGGTCTGTTGACCTTCGGCCAAGGGCAGAGTTTGCCCAGCTTGAATCACGCACCTCCTGTGGAGTTTTCCATATCCGCGTGCTTCTGGCAGCGCCGTTTCCACGTGTGGGGCCAGTCGTCTTCATGATCCGCACTGTCCACTGTTTGAATGCCAGCTGCGCCACTTTACTACCTGTCCTGCACACGTCGCTGCGTCTCAGTTTCCACACCTGTAGAGAGGGGGTATCTAGCTCGTAGCATTGTCTGGAGCAGCTGGACCATTGGGGAGTGGAAGAAAGCAATGAAACCAAAGAAAAACAGTGTTTGGCATCTAACGGGTGGACAGTGAGCACTAGCCAGCTCGCTGCACTGTTCGAAACCGACTCAGGGCCTGTCATGATGCTGGGGAGCTGCAGGGGGCGCTGGGGAGCTGCAGGTTGGCTGTTCCGACTCTCGGCTGCAGCAGAGGCTGGAAGGTGGTGGGTGGGCCCTGGACTGGGGGAGGTTCCTGCAGGTGTGGGTGGGATTGGGCAGGGCCCTCCGACCACTGCCCTGGGAGAATTCCAGTGAAGGGGAGGGCGGTCCCTGGGTCCTGCCCGTAAGTGGACACTTGATTATCTCTCTTGGGTCAGCGGGGGTGTGATTCACAGTTGTCCCTCTGAGTTTTCTTGGGATTTTGGTGTTCGGGGAAGGGGGCTGTAGGACGCTCCTTCGTATCTCTCGGTGCCTTAGGAGTGCTGCCACCAGGTGGCTGATAGAGAATTAATAGCCGTGTGAGGCTGAACGACAAAGAGCGTGGATGTGCCGGCTAATTTAATAAAAACTAGATTTTCTGTATTTAATCAGCTAAACCTTCAGCTCTTGCATTCACTGACCACACGTAATTGTGACAGATCGCAGAGCAAGCCGCGAGGTCCGTAGTCTTGTTTTTTTTTCTAAGTCCTTCTTGGCCGTTTTTGGAAGCATTCATTGCTTCTCTCACCCAGACAAGAAGAAGGACCTCTGTCTTCCTGTCTCACAGGCCCTGGAAGCTTCCTTTTGCTCTGGGCCCTGTCCTCAGGGATCCTGATCTTCCCTGAGAACACAGCTGCTACTCTTCCAGCTCTCTCTCCCAGCCTCCTCATCGAGAAGTCTCTCAGCTCTGTGGGACATAAATATGGAGCCATTCACCAGCTCTGGCCATGCTTCGTCAAACCTGGTCCATCCTCAACCCGAGGTGAAATCCTCGGCAGATCCACCCTCGTTTATTGAAAGTCCAGTCCAGTTTAAAACTCTGACCCCTCTCCCCGCCCCACACTTGATTTAAGTCTCACCTCATTCTGTCTAGTCGAGGCTTGACAGGTGGCTCCAGGTGCTGGCAGTGGGGTCACGCTGTGGCTTATCGTCCTATCACCTAGGCCAGGGGTGAGTGAGAACTGACTCTGGGCTACGTCTTGCTTTTCATGATTCGGGGTCCAGCTTTCCTGGGGCTGGAAATAAGGAGAGGGGACAGGGAGGAGGGCAAACAGCTCTTCTCTTAACCAGAGGCCACCCTCTGCTAGTTGGCTGTTCCGACTCTTCTGTGGGGCGTGTGTGAGATCGGCAGCGGAGTCTGCAAGACAGGTTTCCCAGAGCAGAGGGTCCAGCTCTGCCTCGCCTCAGGCTGCCGGGGTCTTGCCCCGCAGGCAGCCCTGTGGGGTGGGGTGCTGGCTGCGTGGTTTTAACCCAGGTCACTTTGATTGTTGTTCAGCTGACCCCCAGGAAATGCCCACAGCGTGCTGTGCAGACTGGGGGTGTAGGAGCCCGCCTCCTCTCTCCGTCCTGCCAATTCCCTTCAGTTCTTGCTGTGGAAGGTCCAGGGACAGGTCGGATCCGGTCTAAGCAGCTGTTCCTCTGGGGAGTGCATTGCCCGTCTCTGCTCAGGCACAGCCCATCTCTACGAGTGATATTCCGTTTCTTCAGTGCCCCTCAGTCCTTAGAGATGAGGGAGGGAGGGAGGGAGATGGCGGCTGGTGACAGCAGGACTTCTCCGAAGTCCTCTTGTTCGGGAGCTAGCTCTAAGGGAGCTCCCCTCCTTGTCTGCAGTCCGCCCTGGCTTCCGGAGAACTGTGGGGTTTGCTTCCTTCCTCCCCTTGTACGCTCTCTGCAGGCAGAGTCACTCTCCAGAGGCTCCTGGGGTTTCTCCCGGGGGACCCAGGCCTCACAATTATTCAGGTTTTCAAATATCAGCTTTTGATGTTCTCTTCCTATGGGATTACATATACACCGAAAAGATAAAAAGTTGTCTATTATTTTCAAATGTGAACGTTGAATATGAAACACAATTTTGATAACTCAGTTTCAGTCCTTACTTCTTTTTTTCCTTTTTTTCATTTCTTTTCTTTCTTCCTTCCTTTCTTTCCTTCCCTCCCTCCTTCTCTCCCTCCCTCCCTTCTTTCCTCCCTCCCTTCCTTCCTTCCTTCCTTCCTTCCTTCCTTCCTTCTTTCCTTCCTTCCTTTCCTTCCTTTTCTTCTCAACGATCTCTCCAGAATAAAGAGGCCGGGTGTCTCCGAGAGGCTTCTGCCTGCCTCTTCCATGAGCTGCAGCTCAATATATCCAGGAGCCACTAGCTACCTCCCCCGGGGGCTTCCCTGCAGGCCTCAAACACAACACTTCCAAATGCAAGTCCTCACTGCCCACCCCAGCTCTGTCTCGGCGCCTGGCTCCTCCATCATGTAGTCACCTGAGTCGGAATCCTGGGGTCACTCTGCATGCCTTCTTCTCTGTGGCCCCTGCTCTGTACCCTTTCTGTCACTAAGTACCACTTATTTCATCTCAGAAATCTCTTAAATCTTTTTTTTTCTCTCTGTTTCCATTGACACCACATGTTGGAAGAGTACCTGGCAGAGTGAGGTATGAGATAAGGATGAACAGAGACAGTTTGTGGCTCCACTGAGGCGGGGGGTGGACCTTGAAGATCATGCTTAGCAAATAAATAGTAAAGAGGACTTTATTCAGGGAGCAGCAGGGAGTCCTGTGAGCATTGATGGGTGTGTGTGTATGTGTGTGTATGTGTGTGTGGCACTATTGGACCACTGGGGACACATTTGCGCAAAGGCCCTGGGCACTGGTCCAGGTTGGTGATGAGGAGACCTTCAACTTCACTCACGAGAGTGAATAGTTAGTCGTAGGCTAGAGGGTGTCACTATGGACACCATATAAGAACCTGCAGTTATAGGACTTGACAGGTGATTACATGGGGTTGAGAGAGGGAAGCCTTGAAAATTCCTTCAGGTTGTGAACAAGTTTTAGGGACACGTGAAGGTGAAAATTCACCCTGATCTCTTGAAAGGGTTGGTTATGTCTGAAGGCGCCAAGTCCAGGGGAAGGTGGGGATTGTGAAAGATCGGGCACTGAATAAAGTAAGTAAACGATACTGTTTGAGAGGTATTCAGCATCATTAGAAAGGCGTTTGGTATTTTTGTTTGTTTGTTTTTAGCAAAACAAACACCTCGACGTATATGTGCTCCAAAGGGAAGCAGCCAGGAGAATGGGAGGGATTAAAGATACAAGAGGAAAAAAAACAATTATAGATAATTCTTTTGCGACAGAAAAAAAGGAGGCACAGACCTTCCACAGGACTGCTGGTGGATTTTGAAGCCCCAAAGCTAACGTCTTATGGAAACCACATTTCGAGGTTGAGAATGCTTTCAGTTTATTTTTACAGAGATGCTAATTTCCATAAATAGCATGGCAGCATAAAGTAATTTC